ATGGCTACAATAGAACACAGCTCTAAGTTCTAACTATGAAGGCGCCTACGCTACCTCAGCCTGAAGCTGGAAGGCTACGACGTTTCTGGTGACGAAGCCGGCAACGGCTGCCCACACAAAGCAGGGACCTGTTTGGTGAATGAAGAGTTCTCCTTGGGCAAGTGCGCCTCGGCCCTTGTTGGGGCTGTTAGGGTTTAGGGTTTAGGGGTTCTGGGTTAGGGGTTTGGGGTTTAGGGTTCAGGGGTTTAGGGGTTCAGGGTTTCGGGTTTAGGGTCTACGCTTGAAGGGTTCTCGAGTTTTGAGTTTGTGAGAATTTAGGGTGGTTGATCAAATCAAAACTTCATCCTGGAGACCTCAAAACATTAGAGCCTAAACTCGACAACCCTGAAGACCTTAAAGCCTCACCACCACACCCCATGTTTCACCCTAAGTGCATGCTCGTACGGGCAGGAGCCACGCGAGGGCTCCCAATGCACCTTTAAAAAAACCAAACAAAACCTATTAATCCTTATGGAAATCACCACGAAAGACCCGGCCTGAGAACCCTCACCCTAAACCCTAAACCCAAGAAACTGAAAGCCTAATCTAGAAAAATCCGTGATATGCGAACCCTTAGAACCTGGCCTAACTTACCTTTGGTTAGTAGGGAATGGAGGAATGGGGTAGAATTGTAACTACCATAACAACCATTCTTCCATTCCGTACTAACCAAAGGTAGGCTAACCCGACTGAGGCTACAATATCCCTTAATTAAGGAATATAAGGAATATTCCCTAATTAAGGGATATTGGGTAACCCGACTCAGGCTACAAGCGATGCGAGGACCTGACTGTGGGCCAGTACCCCCACCGGACCAGCCCGGAGCTCGATTCAGATTTCGGCCTAAAGTCTTAGGGTTTAGGGTTTAGGGTGTAGGGTTTAGGGTTTAGGTTTAAGATTTAGGGTATAGGGTTTAGGGTTCAGTGAAGAATGTAGTGTTGGTCATTGCTTCGGCGCGTTGATCAAGGATTTGTTGCAGCGGTGTGTCTATAACTATCGGGGGCGTAGTCTTGTCTCGAGTACCTAAACCCCGAAATCTAAGTCTTGCTACTGGCCCAGAATTTATAACATGCTCTAAACCCTAAGCCCTAAACCCTCCATGCTATTATCCTACATACTGTTGGGGACAGTCGGGCCCCAAGGGGCTCTTGGCAGAGGCACAATGTATAGTGTCGGACTAGAGTGCATACAAACATATATGTATATATACATATTACATATATATCTATATATGTATATATATATATATGATGTGTGTATATATATATATATATGTGTGTGTATATGTATGTATATATATATACATACACCATATATAGATGCATATGTTGGGTTTAGGTTTCGATCTTTGTTTTGGGCAATCTCAATTGAGGCGCCGACACCTGCTGCAAGACGAAGAACTTCTTGGATGCTCGTCTGTCTTGGTGCAAAGCCTCTGTGGTCTCAGTTGATTCAGTTGGGCTCATGGGCTTGCCTGGGTGGGTGGGTGGGCTGGTAGGTAGGGAGGTAAGTAGGTAGGCAGGTATGGAATGCAGCAGCCTTCGGACACTTAGCGCCAATGCAGCACCTTCGTCAGCGAATTATCTACCTTCGGTGTCTTTTCATCTGGTCTCTGGTGGACAAGCACAGTATTTTGAATAACAGTGCTTTTCGAGCGAAAGCAACATGCATGGGAGGTCGTTCTGCTCTGTAGAGGCCTTTTCCATTGGTTGCTGGCTGGAGCTTCGGGTTTAGGCTCTAGTGACTCCAGTGGTTGTGGATATGGGGTCAGGGGTCAAATATAAGGGCCGCAATAATTAGAATAGAGCCCATTATACTATAGTTCTAATAAGGAACCCCGAAAAGAATATAGGCAAGTATAAAACCCCCTACACTAACCCTAGACCCTAAACCCCCTAAACCTACATTAGCAGTTTAGGAGTTTGGGGGTCGAGGTTGAATCCTGTCGACACTGGGGTGGTTGTCAAAATTACGGTCCCATTTCGGTACCCTAAATATTAGGTGCCGGATTGTATTAGGGACCCAAAAAGGGACCCTCGTTTGGAGAGCCATCCACTGGATGCCCAGGAGTGCATTGATCCCTCCAACAGCATCTTGGCCTGGCCTTGGTAAAGTCTTGCGGGCCACTCCAAGCCTTACTCTAAGGGTCCAAAGCACCCAATAATTAGGTACTCGGTTTTAGGATAGTAGTTATGTGGGTTAGGCTTTTGGAGAGTATATGATTATTAGGTGCTTGGACCTTTGGGGTTATGTCCTACTGCCACCCTAAACTAAACCCCTTTACCCCAAACCCCCAACCCCAAACCGGGATGGATGAAAGCCCGCAGCCTTACAGTAGAAGCCAAAAAGTTGGAAACCCCATAGCCTCAATCCTTAAGAATCATGTATAGGGACTCCCAGCACTATTTGGCCTTAATCCGGTTTCCAACTTTATGGGGTTTACCCATAGGCCCCAAAGTAGTTCCTTTTTGGGATTACCTTATATGGTTCTATATATGAACCCCCAAAAGGAACTACTTTGGGGTCTTAGGGTACTGTAAGCCTTCAGTTCCGAACCCTTGATCTCCAATTTCAAGCAGGTCCTAAACTTATAAATCCTTAACCCAAACCCAGAGAGCCCAATACTCCTTAATTAAGGGATATAGCTTAAACCATGATATGAATCCCCTTATGGTTTAAGGTATATTCCTTAATTAAGGGGTATTGGGCTGTCTGGGAAACCCTACACCCAAATCTCTAAACCCTAAATCCTGAGCACTATAAACCCTGAACCCCGGACCCGAAGCAGCAACATCGATGGCCTCGAGGTTTCTTAAGCCCAGGTTTATACAACTTGGTACAGGCGCTATATGAGGTTTGCAAACTTGTATTATGTAACCCATTATAGAGCATTGTAATATGTCCCAAAGAGCTCTTACACAGCATTAAGTCACATGGACTACGGTGCTTGAGTGTCGGTTTATTTTCTTGGCTGTGGCGGGTTAAGGTACTGTACTTGTTTTACCCGGCATGTCCAAAGCACATCGTGCTTACATTGCACGACGGGTTGAGACACCTACATAGCGTAAGCATGTGCGAACTTACAGCAAGCGGTGTACCTCTGTCGTTTTAGCCATTAGCTAGACCATGACCCTGTCCTTTGTTGAATGCTCTTTCTCGAACTTGGGATACCTCGTTCAGAGGCCTGTGTCAGTTTTTTGAACGGCATCCTACCAGGTCCTACAATTTACAGTGCATATTGGGTTATTAATTTCTGATGAACACCAAATCTTTCTGTACCGAATCTTAAACCCTAAAGACCTGTTCCTTTGAAGCCCAAACCTTAATGTGAAGCTCCCACATGAAGGCCATTTCAGTTTCGGGTTCAACGTCGGTGGCGGCAAGGGTGACGAGTCAAAGAGCCATTCGCCGAACACGAAGCATCCAAGCAGCAGTACAATAGCGGGCTTTAGGGCTTCGCAGTTTTTGGATTTAAGATTCGTGCTTCGCGTTGACGGAGCTGAGTGTTGTCTACAAAGGGCCCAAAATTTGAGACAACCCTCCTGCAAGACTGTGTACTTGGTCTGGCGACTTGCATGCTTGCGGAATGGTGATTGTGGTCTCCGGATGTGCAGCAAGAGTGTCTAACACGAAGTTACGATAAAGCCTGGAGCAAGAGTCACCATGTGGGATGCTTCTTTCCCTGGTACGGGTTCCAGGGCGGAGATGCGAGATGGCGGTACGCCATCCTGTGTGCTAGTACGACGCAAAAACTCTGTGTGCAGGTGGGGTCTGTCTTATAGCAAGATCTTAGTTAATGATTTGAGGCTCCTTGTGACAAGCATTCTACTCGGTACGATTTGAGGAGCGGCTTCCCGCGTCCGTGTTTCACCTTGCCCCCCAGTTTGGTGCTTTATGATGCCAAGGCCTACCACTACCACTACCCCACCACTGCTGCTGCCGCTGCTACTACTACAACTACAACAACAACAACAACAACAACAACTATTTCTACTACTACTACTACTACTACTACTACTACTACTACTACTACTACTACTACTACTACTACTCCTGCTGCTGCTGCTACTACTACTACTACTACTACTACTACTACTAAAACTACTAAAACTATTACCACTACGACTATCGCTGCTGAGACTACTACTACTACTACTACTACTACTACTACTACTACTACTACTACTACTACTACTACTGCTACTACTGCTACTACAACTACTGCTACTTATACTTATACTGCTGAGTTGCCAGATTTTGCAAGAACTCAGTGAGCTTGGGGCCTGGATCTACAGCAGCTAAGGTACACCGAGCTCGGCCATTAATCTGCAGCTGTTTTTGCAGCAGGTTCCTGGCAGGTCAAACCCTTCTGACATAACCAGAGGGCTTGGCTTGCCGCAAATTCGAGGCATGAGATTTAGAAGCGCAGACTGTGACAGCTCCTGTGCACTGTAGGCCTGCTGCGGTCAGAAGAGCCGTAGCCCTACCTACATGACACTGCCCGACAGGGGTAGCATTTAGGCCATGCGAAGCATGGACGTTGTGCCGCAAGCGCAGATCACGGTAGTGCATGGCAGTTAATAAAGCTGAGCCCGGATCCCTAAATCCCAAAGACCGAAGTCAATGCCGGGAGTCGGCAGCTGATCCAGCATGTCTGTCATACAAGTATCGCACGTGGGTTGGCCGTCCTCAGGAGTGTCAGGCCGATTGCTTCTGCAAGTTAGTGCCATCTCTGCAGCTTCTGCAAGTGCCTTCGAGCTACGATGCTTGAAAGGCCCGATCTTGTCACGCGTTAGCTGGTCTGAAGGGGCGACCGAAGTGGGTCCTTCCTGGTTCTACTTCTGCCTTGCTCAGGCCTCACCCCGAGATGCATCAGTTTTCCAATGGCCCCTAAACCCTCAACTTCCTAAGCCCGAAACCCTGAGCCCCTAAACCCTAAACCCTAAGCCCTTCACTGTAAGGTCGATCCAGCTACATGCCCCTGGCTTCCAAGAAGCTCCATCTAGGCCGGAGCTGTTTGGGTTCTTGCTAACGGATTTAGTTTCAGTTACCATGTTTGGGATCTATAGTAAACAAGATGGTTCCTTATGATGGTAACTTAACTTAAATCCCTCAAGTTTGGGGGCTCTTGTTGGTCTGAAGATTCAACACGGCACTCGTAATGGCAATGTACTTGATTATTGGATTCGTTTTTTCTGCAAAATCTGTATATATGGAGTGAGAACGAGAGGTTGCTGGTGTCGTTGTTGCGAATGTGTACAAGTTGTTTGCAGTGGGGTTCAGGTAGGATTCAACGCAACGTACTTGGGATTTCAGCTTCCAGTGTTCTCTGCCGCAGCCTCTTGGTTCGGTTGGCTCCTTCCGGCGCCTTCTTTCCGAGGCCATGGATCGTGTTCTTTGCGGAATCCTTGCTTACATTTCAATCCAGGCATTAGCTCTGCGGACAGATCAGGGGACAGATCAAGACGGTGGAGAGACGGGCTTCCCCAAGCCATGTACTCCGACCGAGACCAGTGCCTACAACCAAGTGGTCATCCCCACAGTGAGCGACTTCACGAAATGGAAGGATGTCCTGTCCACAGCCACGGGACTGATTTCGAATCCCATCTCAGATGCTGATGCTTTCGTAGTGGATATGACCCTGCGCACTTCGCTACTGTCCTATGGTAGGCTGCCATCGAAGTGGAGCTATGCTTCCTTTGGCATCTATGCAGCGAGGCTTGCGCGCATTCAGGCCCGAGTTTGTGATATCTGCTTGTGTTTGTTATGCATGTATCTCCTGTAAGGGTTGTTCTAGACCAGGGTCTCTGTTAGTACATCAGGGGAAGGGGCTTCCCGGCTTCCCTGCTTTCAGGGTACTATATTGAGATTCTCGTACTTGTGAGTCACCCTGCGTTCCGACAGCGTAGACAGCCGAGGAAAGGCGGAGATTTTCCCGTCATGGCTGAGATACAGATCAGAGGCGAGGTCGACCACAAGCGCGGCAAGTCCGGAGATTACCAGGAAGATGATTGCCCAGCGGCCGCGATCTATGCAACTTGGAAGTTCCGGAAGCTATGTTGCCCTTTGCAATGCTGATCTTGTTCGGGAGAAGGTAGAAACCGAGCCAAAGTTACCCCAAACCCGAAACTGGAGCCCAACCCTAAACCCAGGTGATCAGGTTGGCGGACGGGGGAGTAGGCTTGATCCTCAGCTTCAAAGGCACATCGAATGTCTTGGACTGGATGAGGAACCTCGACATTAGGCCGGAGTTTCGCAAGATAGGGGAAACCCCGACGACAACCGTGGGTAGCAAGTAGCCACCAGGCCAGCAAACCTAAAACCCCACATCCTAAGCTCCAAACCCTAAGCCCTAAACCCTAAACCCTGAACTCCACCCCGAAACCCTCAACCCTCGAACACGATTTTAATCCTAAACTTCCGAAATTCTTCAGGTCGGCCCCCTTCAGGGCTTCGAAGGATGCCAAGGTGCACAGCGGCTTTCAGACGCCGCTGGGAGCTTTCAGAAGCTCTTTTGTCTTACCTTTGGTTAGTAGGGAATGGAAGAATGGTAGTAATTTGAAACGCTGCGTCGTCCGCCTCGGCCCGGCTGTACGCGCATGCGGCGAGTGGCTACTATCTGCAGCAAGCTCTTGTAGGAAAAAAGTAACAGTTGGAATCGCACTTATAGTAAAAGTAATGTTCATAGCAACACGAAGCAGGATGATTGTGAGTAGTATTAGTAGTGGTACTATCAGTACGAATTTTGGTGTCGTCATTCCGAAACACTGGATACCAAGACTCTCGCAAGCGGCGGGATGCCTTAAGTAAGGGCCGTTGAGGCTGGCTGGGGTTTAGGGGCCCCCAACAAGTAAAGATGCTACATTACAGTCCCCTGTCGTCGGAAACTCTCACAGTGTTGCAAGCCTTGGCGCCCTTTGGCCCAAACACCCGACTGCAGGGAGTGAGCATAAAGAATCGGGAAAGCGGGAAGGCAGGCGGGGGGAAGGGAACAGGGCCACGGCAGGGAGTTAGCATAATGAATCGAGGGAGGGGGGCGGGGGGCGTGAAGGGGTGGGAGGCACGGGGGGGGGAAAAACGGCAGAGGGGGGGGCGAAGGGGGCGGTGGGGGGGGGGGGTGGGGCCGAGGCGAATAGTAGTTATTCTTGTACCCCATTCCTCCATTCCCCAATAACCAAAGGTAAGTTGTTCGGGGTTTGAGGGTTTCGGGGGGGGATAGGGGTTCAGGGTTTAGGGGGCTGGGGGCTTAGGGTTCGAAGGTAGTTTCGTAGAGGGAGGCACGCGCTTCCCCAGAGGCACGCTTGTAGTTCCTGATCTGACCTACTGCCCCAAAGGGTCCTATGTACTGTTATGGGGGATACTTCCCCAAGTCATAATAGTAATTCCTAATATGGAAAGCCTACATTCTACTATATCGGTACATAAGACCCTTTGGGTGCGGGTCCTAGGCATCTTGGCCACCTCTTTGATAGCTTGGGGGATTGGCGTCTTCGTGAGCTCAACCATGTGCTTCATCTTTGGGGCGTGGCGGAAGCTGAGTCATAACTTGCTAACATTTTACATGTTCATGGCTACGAAAACCCAGCAATGAAATAAGACTGAACATTTTTGAATACTATCCCCACCCATGAACTAGGAAGAGGGTTCCATACCGAACGTCTTGGACTATGTGCTGCACGGGAATTGGAGCTGGTGCATCTGTACCGGACACAGTCTGGGGGGAGGCATGGCGGCTTTGGCCGCCTTGATAATTGGAATAGGGTTTTGGGGCCCATTTTTGGTTTCGAATAAGGAATCTTCCCAAAATAGTGTGTATATTAATGTATATGTCTAGGAAATTATTCAGGCCGCCGAGACCATCGCAGTGGAATCGAATTTCAAGCCTGTCTACGAAGTGACGGTCGCGGCGCCGATCCCCGGAAATCCCGCCTTCATCTCGGAGATGGCAACTAGGTAGGGCTTTGGGACATGTTATATATTCTCTTATTGGGCTTAAGAGGATCTTATTTGCTAATATTTTTCAAAGGCTCTAAAAGCCCCACCTAGGCAAGGGATGTGAATCCCAACGGCGGACTACGGATTGAGAATCCTCTCGACCCAATCCCCTGGGTCGGATTCGGCGGTGTGAAGGTGAGGTCTCGCACTACCAATGGTATGGGATGGGTTTTGCCGCAAGATGCGAGCATGAGCAGGACCTCACCACGGAATTCTCATACATTTTACCATGTGGAGACGACGGATGCCGATGGTAACGCAACATGCAAGTTCTACACTTTCCAGCCCTTCACGACGGAAGGGGATCCCGCGCAAACAGCTTTGACCCACTATGATCAGCTCAATTGGATGGCCAATCAGAAATGGGGGTGATGAAGCTTAGGGGTACTTAGAAATAATTTTGAGTTTTTGTTATTATAATATCTAAGAAACAGCTAAAAATTTATTTTTTCTAGGGCTGCTAGGGTTCTAAGTTCAGAATTGAAAGGACTGCCCCACCGGAGAGAGACCTCAAGGAGACCCCTCGAGATGCATGTTGGCTGACTCCAGATGCCTTGTTGGCTAAAAGAGAATCTGCTGGAGGCTGTGGGGGTCAAGAGATTTAGGATAGGGTGTGGGTATACAAACGGTACACTTACTTGTGGGCTGTAAGGCAGTAACCCTACATTTCCTGTCATTGAAGGCCGTGAATGCCTTCAGGGGATTTCCTCCCCACACTCTGGTGGTACGCGAGAGCCCGAAATCCTTACATCTAATGCCGGTTGGGGCTGGGCTGCGAGATCCTATATGTCCTATGATCTTAGAGGATTTGGCGGGGACTTGGGGATTGGGATCGGAGGCTTGGAGGTTGAAGAGAGCCTATGTTTCTGGAACCGGGATGTAGCCCCTAGTCTCTGTATCCCAAAGCCCATGAATGCAGAAACATTTACCCTGCAGCCCCCTAGACCTGAAGCCTGAAATCGTAACTACCCAAAGGCCCCAAAGTAGTTCCTTTTTGGGGTTCATATATAGAATCCTACAAGGTAATCCCAAAAAGGAACTACATTGGGGCTTCTGGGTAAAACCTCGACCCAGACGAGCTCAGCGCGAGAGAGCCTCACAGCCCATACGTGGAATCCGCCGGCGCCTTTGCGGTGGGGTTCAGGGTTCCAGCAAATTTAAATACCTGGACCCCCAAAGTATGTAGAATAATGGCCTTTTATAGGTATTGGGCCATTCTTTTACCTACTTTGGGGGTTTAGGTAAGCACTATAAGTGCCCAAAAGCTGTGAACCCCTCGACCCCAGACCCAAGCAGTTCAGGGCTTTACTGCGTCTGTTTCAGGCGTCTTGCTTTGCTTCAGCTCTTGTGGGTGGGAGGTGTAACCACAAGCAGAAATAACACGGTGGGGAATATCCTTAGATTTCCTTGGCCGGCAAATCTAGTTCCCTTTGTGGCCGGAGAAGAGTTTCTGGGTTAAAGGTGCACTACTTGCCTGGTACAGTAATTAGTTGCTCTATCCAGAAAGCAGGTCCGACAAAGGATGCCGCAGTTCGGGGCTAAACCACATAAGCCCGCAACCCCACATCCAAGGGTTGGGTCTACATGTCGTCGTTTGATCTTCAGAACTGGGGATCTAGAACTTGCATCTGGGTTCTTGTGAAGGGATTTAAGTAAAGGTACACTTATCGGGATCTATAGTAAACATGAGGGTTTTGCATGGCAACATCCAACCCTAAAGCCTGAACCGGAAACCCTTAAACCCTAAACTCTTAATATAGCAAGAACCCAGGCATTGAGGCACTGCATCTCGTTGCCTTGCCTTGGTCAACGGTCGGGGTTCTCTTTTGCTGCGGCTTGAGCGCCCCAACATGTAGCAAAAGGAAGCCCATAAAAGCGCAAGGACCTTTGTTCTTCCCTTCCTGACGATACGGGTCTCATCCCCATGAATCTTTTATGGTTCTTGTATGGGGTGGTAGGGGAACGAGAAGTGCAGAGGGCTGCGATGTCTGTTTTGCTCCAGCTCGACGAGAGTAGACTTTCCGTCAAGACGAACCGTGTAACCGAAGTCCGAAGCTTCAGTCCTGCGGTTTAGGCCTCAGGGTTTAGGATCCAATTCTTCTGCAGAGAGTGGGTGCTCTTCTGACCCCGACGAAAAGTGTATGTGCTTACATGATGTCTTCGGGATCCCAAAGTCTTCTATTCCCTGATTTCCTAATGCCTCAGGTATACTGTAATATACTTAGATCCCCAATACCCAACCTTTAAACTTTTTGGGGTTCTTGTAGCTTAATAGGAATCGGAAAGTTTGACCTTTTATTTCTGTGGCTTATTGGGGCAGTAAGTAAACCCTACACCCAAATCTCTAAACCCTAATACCTCAGGTATACCATTGTTTATATATATATATATGCATATATATATATGCATATATATATATATATATCTTTATATATATATATATACATATCTATATATATATGTATATATATATATATGTATATATATATATATATATATACACCCCGAAACACAAGCCGTACCAAGGCGGTTGCATTCCTGCTCGGAGCTCTGGCTGCTACCGCGGTTGCTTTGGCCTTGGCCCATGGAGCCCGGGCCTTAGAAGCGCTGAGATAAATAGGGGTTTAGGGTTCAGGGGTTCAGGGGCTTAGGGGTTTAAGGGAACTCCAGAAAGTTGGAATATGGTTTCAGGGTAGGATACCTTATAATTTACCATAAAGGGTTTAGGATAATCATATTCCAACTTTCTGGCTTCTACTGTATCAAAGGGGAAAAGGAGGGACCCTTAATGGGGACCCCTGCCCTATAATGGGCTATATAATGGGTATATAATAGCTATATTAAGGGTATATACTTCGGGGTACTTATTAAGGGTCCCTCCTTTTACCCTTGGAGTTTAGGATCTACCAGGATCCCGCAAGGGCCCTTGAATAGAGTCCTTGTGGCCGTGAATAGTGGGTAGTTGGGTAGTTGGCAGGGGGCTTTGGGACCTAAGGTTTTAAATAGTGTGGTCGGGCAGTTGGATTCTCCAGTATTGCTAGCAGACACATGGCTCACTATGAAGTTTCAACCCCCTCCCTACCTAGAAAAAGAGCAAGCTCTTCAGCCAGAAATCCTATAAACGCTTAACAGTAAGCACCACAAAGCCTCGAAACTCTAAAAAAGCCCCGAAGACCCGAAACCCCAACCTGGAACTCTACAGCCCTAAAATGCGAATCTCTTAAACCCTAATACTAAACCCTAGAGCCCTAAACCCTAAACCTAAACACCCAAACTTTAAACCCTAAACCCTAACTGAACCCGAAGCCCTACACAAGCCAAGGTGGGCCGGAAACGAACTGCGGAGGGCTTGGAGCCGCTCCTCAAGGCTCGGGAGCTTGGAGGGGTCACGCAGTTAGGGGCTTGGGTTTGGGGGGTTTCGAGGTTTAGAGTTCAGGGGTTTAGGGTTTTAGGGTAATTTAAGGGTTTTAGGGTTTTGGGGTTTTGAGGTTTGCCCCAAACCCTATTCTAACTATTGAGGTCCCTATATTCGAGATAGGCCTGAGCTCTGCTTGAGTTTCAGTCTTGGGATCCGACATTGACATTGCTCTGCGTGTTTTTTGGGGACCAGGGCCCTCCTTGTAACCTCAAATAGGGGTATATGGTCCCAAACAAGGGGCATTTAGGGTCTAATAGAGGGTAGATGGAGGGTCTAACCCGAGCATTCTTGTTGTGCAGGTTTGGGGGTTAGGGGTTTAGGGTTTCAGGCTTAGAGTTTGAGGGTATATAGGGTTTCTGAAAAGGGGTCTATAAGGGCAGCAACTAGATCATGGGAGTTGCTATGTAGAAGCTGCTAAATCTAAATCCACAGCTAAAACCCGGACAGAGCCCCTTATAGAACAAGCATAGTACCCTTGAGGTAACTTCAGAGCCCCTCAGACTAATCCCAGAGCAACCCCTGTCTGCAGTTTTGGCACAGGCTCGCAGGCTCTCACGTGGTGTCGGTGGATGTAAGTACCCATTCCTTTTTGGGACTTCCTTATAGGATCCTAAATATGAACCCCAAAAAGGAACTACTATGGAGCCTTTTGGGTAAAGTGTCAGGTCTATTGTGGGTGCTGTTTGGCAATTGGGGCTCCCTCTCGTAAGGTTAGGTGACTTCAGTGTGTGGGCCAGAATTTGGTTGAAGGGCCCTGAGGGTTTACTAGAAGCTGGGCTCTCCCCAGAGACTCCAATATCTCTTAATTAAGGAATATTCCTTAAACTATAGTAGGATCCCTAATATGAGTTAAGGAATATGCCTCAATTGAGGGATATTGGAGTCTTTGGGTCATGAGCTACGACCACATCAGAGAAAACAAGACTCACAGCAGGCAAGAGGACCTTGGAGTCCTTATGGTAATAGTACACAACCTGAGGCAAGGGACCTCCGAGTCACACATGGCGTTTTGGGATTTGCGTTCTGAAGCACCAAGCTCGGGAAAACTGAAGGAGAGTCGTCTTTGTTCTCGGAAACCAATACCTCCAACTTCGAAGCCTGACTGCAAACCTTGGTGCAGTGCGGAGTGCCTCATTCCGTAGTCTTTCTCATGGCTAGTTGGCATGGAAAAAATGTGAAAGCGCTGCTTGCTCCCCAAATCCCCACAGCCATTGGTTCATTAGTATGCTGTGATGGCGAGACTGCCAGGCCACTTCAATACATCTTGACGTTTAGTAGCTGCAGCGTGGGTCCAGGCCATTCCATGACGAACGCACGCTGCGACGTGAGTTGTAGACATCCGAGCGTGCGGCTTGGAGGCCGCAGTTTCATGTTCAAGAGGTTAGGCCAGATGCTGCATTCCTAGCGCCTTCATACCTGAATCAAGCTGCAAGCTACATGCCACAGATCCCAGAGATATGCCGGCTGTTCACCTCGCCACGCAGTGAGGATGAGTTTTTCAATACCGACAAACGAGTCTTCGGAGACTGTTTTTCTGGCAAACTACTCAAGGGCGAGGCTGCTACACTCCCATCTCCTGTTCCTGTGCACTGTGGCTCCTTTGACCCGTCCTCTGTTTTATTAGTGCTGATGTAGTCTTGCCGAATCCACGAATCTAGGCCTTGTGAGCAGGAAGACACAATATCGCTGTGGCGCTAAAGCCCCGACATCTTATATACAGAGGTACAGATATATGCATACGCGTGCACATGCCCATGCGCATACATATACATTCATGCAAGTGCATATATATATATATATATATATATATATATATATATATATATATATATATATATATATATATATATATGTATACATACATACACATATATGAATATATATATATATATATATATGTATGTATGTATGTGGTATACATATATACATACATACGCTCACATACTATATACATACATATATATATATATATATATACACCTATGGTACGGTAGTAGTGCAAGATTCACAGTGCTGGTGGCAGCTAGCAGTAGAAGAGACTTCTCATGACAGTTGCAATGATTGACGCCACGAAGACAAGGGCAACAACTGTTGACAGCGACAAAGCACATTCGCATCTTGCGATACGGACAGAACAGTAGAGGTGGTGCGAGCATCACCAGCACAATGAGCATTCTGGATGCTACAGACACGATGTGGTTACGGGGAACCGCGATCTGTTGAAATGTTGAAATGCAGGAGAAGCATGATTACTATAGAGCACAGGCGTCGCCATCACTACTGGTGCTGTGCTTTCAATATCGTAAACATTGCTGCTCTTCCTTGTGCTCACCGGCATTACTTAACGATGGCCCATGATCAGCATCATCAGCTTCATGGCCATGATCAGTATTTGATACACCCGGTCACCATCATCAGTACTGGTAGCATCAACGACGCGAAGCTCGACTACCCCAGGAAGCTGCCGTAAGCATTGATGTCGCTGAAACACAAAGTGAATAGGACTCCTATGAGATTGAGCTCCTTTTCCGGACTCGTGTGACTCTTCAAAGCCTCCACCCTAACTTTATGATGATGATGATCCAACAGACGGGGAAGACAACAGCCAAATCATGCGGCTGTGGGGCCTATCACTCTCACTCTCTCTCTCTCTCTCTCTCTCTCTCTGAACAGATGTGTCTGCGCGTGTGCGTGCATGCGTGTGTGTGTGTGTGTGCCTGCTTTGCCATCATTGATTGGCCACCTTCCCCTACAGGTTAATGTTTGCCTTGCCTGTGAGTGGGCCGAAGAATTTAGAGAAGAGCCCGGCTCTTCGTCTCCTTGCTGTCAGTGGGGTGTACTTGAGGTTAAGGTCTTAAGTATCGTTGTTAGTTCTGTTGTGCACGTTTGTGCCTCCTGAATGCCCTATGCATGAGTTTTTCAGATGCCTGCCGGCACCCACATCAACCTCTGCCGAATATGCACAGACAGACTGTCACCATGGATTCATGTCTGAACCTGGCAGTCAAGGCAACATGTAGTGGCCAGGCAGGGAGGCTATTCATTACATCCTCTAAGTGCGATTCTTGTCGAGCTTGGCTTGTTTAGGCGAGGTTTCGGCCTGCAAATCCGGAGCTACTCCAGCAATCAGGTTATGTTGCCATGCATGGAATGGTCGCCTCCCAAGCAGAAGCTACAAGGTGCGAGGCTGAAAGGGCGGCGGTGCTAACTCCTGCTTGTGCCGTAGCAACGCCTTGGAAGATCGTGCATAGCTTGGAGCAGCCGTCCTCGAATTGAGCACACGCAGCATGCATACAAACCACATGCGTATCTTGTGGGTGGGTTAGCCGCGCGCTGGGGATGCAGACAGGCACAGCGCAGTATGCATGTCATGTATGGAGAAGCCCTGCAGCCTCCGAAGCCCAGAGCCACACCCGAATTCTTGGACCAGCATGCTCCAGGACAGGGGATATGCATGCAACCCAGTGGTGTCCCCGGCCGCACGTTCGGCACACTGATCTTGTGGCCTCCAAGGGCTTGAAGGAATGAATCTCATACGGCTGGCCTGTGACCAGCAGAAATCTTTAGGTGTCGCTCAGACTGCAGGAAGGCTCAGCCAGTACTATGGTGCTTTGGATTCGTTTTGTTGGTTGTTTATGTTTTGCAGATTTACGGCTTCCCTCTTTCACTAGACGGTGGTTAGGCTTGCCCGGCCTGCAAATATTCTGCAAAGACGACAAGGCTCCTCAAAGAAAAAAACGTGGAGAACTTGTAGATCGTGCCTTCCCGGGAACTTCTAGATGGTGTTCACCTAAACGTCCCTATTTAATTGCAGCATACAGTAGAATGTACCAACAAGAAGAGAATAGTTGTATTATTGGACACCAGTGTGCCGAAGACAGTCGCGGCCTCGAAGCGCGAGCGCAGCGGAGATGGAACAAAACGCCCTCAGTATTTGTGGGTTGTGTTGCTGTTGCTTGGCTGCTTGGCAGTTCCTGACAACAACCAGACTTCGAGACGGCGTCACAAACACTATCAGTATAGCATCATTCCCATGCCAAGCCGTGTCGTGCACCTTTGAGTGGTTTTCGCGTGTGCCTCTGTTGTTATCGCAACACCGACAGCACAGCTTCGAGTGCCTGCTTCTACGCTTCCTGAGCATACGTTTTGTTGAGTGATGAGGTCGTGGGGCCTTTAGCTTGTCGCCTGAAGCAGATCACTAGACTATGATCGGAGATGTTGTAGCAAGATTCTCCTGTCGTTTCTTAGTGTAGATGTGGCGACCCTGTCGATCTTGCCAACTGCCCTTGTTCGAAACCCTGTCGATTCGCAGCAATTGGGCTTGGCTTGCTTGGCACTGCCACTTACGCAATCTAGCCAGCATGCTCCTCCTTGCATGAAGCATGCCGTTGATCGAGCGAAGCCATGTGCAAACAGGCAAATGCCCGCAAGTTGTGGAAATTACTAGGTCCAAAATGTTGATCCGCTCGCTGTCGCTTCAGTCCAGCACTCCTACTGCACACCTGGGTTGGAAGTGGAGCCCCTGCAATGGGAAACTTTCATCCATTTCCAATTAGAGAGTCTCCTAGAGACCTTTTTGTGGCTGCTCCGGTGATCCCATGTATCCTCTTCTGAGAGCACCAGTGCTGGCCGCCCCCGCGGCCGGAATCGGCAGCGCCACTTCCAGCCGCAAGCCTTGCTGGCTGTTCTCAGGGTTGGTGGAGGTTCGTCCGCTAGGTTTCAGAGGGATCCAGAAAGATTACTTTGTGGAGGTGGGGCACAATATGGGAATGCGGGATGCTCTTAGTCAGTTGGCATGCCACCAATCCCAGGGGCCGGTGGCGGGGCTGGTGCTGGGGCTGCTGCCGGTGACGGTGCTGGTGGTGGTGTTGGAGCTGGCGCTGGTATACCAGCAGCAGTCCTAGCATAGTCGGAGTGATGGTAGTGATAGTGGTTAGCGTGGTAGTACTAGCAGTTGCAGATAGGAGGTAGTAGTGTAGTAGAAAGTAGTAATCAGCAAGTTTGTAGTCTAGTTAAATAGTAGACTTCGTAGACTAGATGAGTAGGTCAATAGTCGTGAGTACATGCCACTTAATAGTGTTAAGTTCTTACTTCTTACATCGTCTACCACAGCTCGTAGGTTTTAGTCAGAAGTTGTGGCTAGTAGTTTACATGTAGTAGGCAGTAGATAGTTGAAGGTGGTAGCCAGGTAATAGGGAGTAGCAGTCGTCGCCGTGGCTTCATTGGCAGTAGCTGCAGCGGTCCTTGTGAACGTGGTACGTTTGCTTGTCGTCTCGAACGTATTTCGGCGAATCGCATCCATGATTCCATTATGTTGAGAAACTACTACGGTGATTATCTATATATATATATATAATTAAATATACATATGTATATATAGATTTCCTTTTCCAAGTATTCAGACGAATTCGCTGCCGAAAAAAAATGCAAACGAAACCACTGACTGCCAGTATGCACTAGCTGATGTTTGGCACAAGCTGAGCAGAAATCTGGCACACCGGGGTTTAGGCAGGGAAGGCGAATCGCTGTAGACCCGGCCAGCTGCGCAGCTGCTAAGTAAAAACCGTAAGCGGTTACGCCACATCCTGCCTCAAAACCAAACTAACTACTTCGCTCAGCGCTATATATGTATACCTATATGCATATATATATATATATATATATATATATATATCACTATTGACTTTGATTGCTATTAGTATTGCTACTACTCATTGCATTCTTCTTAAGTTATGACGAAGCCCAAGGCCGACCTTCCAGGGCCCCGGCGCTCTTTGCAGTTCCTGCGGCCGCCTATGCCTTGCGGCAGCTCGCGCCCTCAACGAGGCGTCGCCTTCCCTGAACTCTAAACCTCTAAACCCCTAAAACCCTAAACCCCTAAACCCTAAACTGGTTGACGGTTTAGGCTTTAGGGGTTTGGGGGTTTGAAGGTGTGCAGGGGAACCGCCATCTCTCCTTACTACCGTTTGTGACACAGTCTTCCGACCCTGAGCCCGAAGCCGTGTTCCCGAAGTCTGAGCTCACACACCTCAAACGTAGCAGAAGCAGCAGAAACCCATGAATAGGGAACCCGAATATAAGACTCTAAATAGTAGGATCCTAATGATAAGGACCCCAAAACAAGGTACCGGTAAGAGAAACTCTCATGTCTGAGTCTACAGAACCCAAGCTACCTGTGCCACAGGACCCGTAGCCTTAACACCAACAGCCCAATCGAGCATCCCCTCAAATCCCCGGATCGTCGAGCTCTGAGGCCTCCAGGCCAAAATCCGATGTAGCACCCTCTATTCAGGGGTTGAGGGGTTTT